GAGGAGGCTGGGATTAAAGTGTGAGACTATTTTTCTAAGGTTTCAATCACCTGTTTTTCTCAATGTATTCTTTCTATTTCATTATCTTTTTGCCTGTAGGACCAGAAAAGGGACAGAGAAAAGGAGTTTGTTTTTAAGTGTTTAAAATGGGAGGGAAATGGCAATAATCCTGTAGTGGAGACCAGTTTGAAAGAGGAAGATTGTCAGCTTCTTTGTCTTCCAGGCTTCTTGTTGTTGTGTGCCCTGAGGCTGAGAGAGTGTGACTTGCCCAAGGTCACCCAGTGGGTTTCATAGCTGAGCGGGAATTGAACGCTGGTCTACAGAGTCACAGTCCAACACTCAAACCACTGCAGCACACTTGCAGGCTGCCTATACCTTTTAAGAGTTGTTTGGGAAGCAGAAATTAAACAGAGGATGTTTTTCCCCAGCAAGGACCAGCCTTACAATAAAGTAGACTGGGGCACCTGCTTCAGGTATTTGATTTGGGGTGCCATGATAAAGCTCACATAATTTATTATGACTGTATCTTTAGGCAGGTGTGACAACCTGAACAGGAACACTTTACTATTTTCTCAACCCAGTAAAGATTCCCCCCTCCCTGAAATGTGTGCCATTTTGTTACCTGTGCTCAGTCTGTTTACAGCATTTTTGTGTCTCAGCATTGTATTCTGGCAGTTTTTAAAAATATATATTATTTTTAACTTTGCATTGTTTTTTATACCTATTGCTATGGTGCACTTAATAAATGATAGTGTAATTTTTGTAGGCTGTTATATGCACTGGGGAGTGAAGAAAAATGCTGTGGCTCACTTTAAGGGCATATTTGTTTTACAGCAGTGGTCTGGAAATCTAACCTGCCGTATTAGCGAGGTATGCTAGCAAATTCAGTATGGAGTAGGTGTTAAAGAAACACTACTTACTAGTAACAGATAGTATTTATTATGAGAGAAGCACATGTCTTGAGTTGCTGCAATGGAGCCAGATGGGTGCAGAAAAAGTTGGGATGTCTATTTGCCATATAATTTGTGGACAATCCAGAGGACTTATGGACTGTAAGAGCTAATAATTTCTTCCTCTTTTTTCCTCATGTTTCTGTCAGGCTCTGAGTAGAAAATGGAGCCCTTGAGTGTCCCAGCTACCCCAGGTGGAGAGACATTCACAGGTAACTAACTGTAAGAAAAGTTTGCCGTTGTTTGCCTTTTCTCCAGTATTTGCACATTTATTGTATCTACAGTTGAACCTTGGTATCAGCTGGGGTTTGCTTCCAGGACCCCCGCTGGATATCAAAATCCATGGATGCTCAAGTCCCATTAAATACAATGGCATAGTAAATGGTGCCCCTTATATAAAAGGGCAAAATCAAGGTTTGCTTTTTGGAATAGATATTTTTTGGAATATTTTCAATCAGTGAGGATTAAATACTGACATTTATTATGGCATCAGCTGTGATGGGCTGCAGGCCACTTCCATCAGGTGCAGGGAAAGTTATGTCAGATTACGGGTGTTTATGCACATAGGGACACGTAAACACATAAGCACCAAGTTTAGAAGGAAAGAAAATGCAGGATATGGAGTTACAGCAGGTACCTTTTTTTAAAGCAGTGGTCCTTTACTGTAGTGGTTTGGTGACAACCCAGACATCCCTGGATTGGTGAGATGATAAATACATATATTATGATTAAACAAGAAAACAGACCCTTAATCCCTGGTTGGCTAGGCTGAAATAAACTGGAATAAATGGGGGCGGTGGGATCTGAACCTAGATTTCCCTAGTTTGGAAAAGTTACTTTTGTGGAATATAGCTCTCTTAATCCCCTTGGCCATGTTGACTAGAAGCCTGTATGTAAGAAACAGCAACTTTTTCAGCTTGGAAAGACCAAATTGGTTCTCTCTCTCTCTCTCTCTCTCTCTCTCTCACACTCACACACACACACACACACACAAACACAGTAACGTACACACACTCAAGGAAAGTGTGGCCCTTTAGATGTTTTTGGGCTACCAATCCTTTTAGCTTTAGCCAGCCTAGTCATTATTGGGATTTATCAGAACTGTGGCTCAACAACAATCTGGAAGGTTGTACTTTTCAATTTCTTCTTAGAGGCCACATCTGCACTGCAGAAGTAATCCATCTTGACACCATTTTAACTGCCGTGACCAATGTTATGGTATTATGGGAACTGTAGTTTGTTAGATATTTAGTTTCCTCTGTCAAAAAGCTCTGGTGCCACAACAAACTGCAATCCCCAGAATTCCATAGCATTGAGCCATAGCAATTAAAGTGGTGTCAAATTGAATTATTTCTGCAATGCGAATGCAGCCAGATTCACTAGTTTACTGTTCTTTGTTACTACTTTACAAAGTCCCAGCATCACTGGTTTGTACAGTTACATCTCTTACTCTTGAAATTCCTTCTTACAACTGGCATCACCTTGTGACTTCTCACTGGACCTTTCCTGCCTTATCTCCTGTCCTCCATCTTTTAGATGCACAGTACATCATAGGCAACTTTGCTAGTGAGCTAGGTCTGTCACCAGCTCTTGGATGCAACCCAACAAACTTCACTGACTCTGTGGAGCTCCTTGGAGGGCTAGGTGACCTAGGCAATGTTGTTTGCTGGAGTGACAACGTGGATCACTGTATCTCCTACCTCAACAAGGTGAGCAACAATTTTGGTCAGTATACCTGGAGTATGTGAGTGAAGAATGGGCTTTTACAATGCCTTTACATTCCATGCCTTCCAACTGTTATGATTTGTTAGGGACAGTCCAGGTTAATCCTCTGTTATTCAGCTTTTTCAGCTAACTTTAAAATGTCCCAGTTTCTCTCTCCTCTGACTTTCCCTCCTTGTCCTCAGCTTACTTCAGTTGCTGCAAATTGAGTTCCAAGTATAGATGTAATTTTTACTTATTTCTCAGGGAAGAGGCAGAATCTTGCTTTCCCCAGTAAAAGCAAATTGTTGTAGCCTCTCCTAGCCTGTGTATTCTTCATCATTAAAAACTTTTGCCATCATGACCACACTCTGATGTTGCTTGGCCACATGTGCCCTGGTTTTCATCTGTGCAAAATATTAGAGTGTGTGACATTCTTCTCCCCCTTTCTTTCCTGCTGTTCATTCACTGCCATCAAAGTATGCCATCAAGAACCAACAACTCAGGAAAATCCCGAAAGTAAAAAGAAGTGGCTTTTGACTACTTTCTGTTCGGGTTAAGCACACTTTAACATCAATGTGTGTGAAAATCTACCCGCTTTTGCAGGTTTTCCCTACCTTTTAAATCCTGTTTCTGTACGGGATTTCCCCCGTGTGATAAAGTCCCTAGTTTGATTGCTTCTTGAAGATTCTGAGGGCATTTCCAAAATTTTGCCTCAAACTGTTTAAGATTCTGTTGAGGAAAACCTGGCACAACAATCTGCTAAAATTAGGGATTAAAATTTTTTCGCCTCTCCTAATTATGAAGCAATTTAGGTTGCTTGCTATAAGAAGGTCATATTGTTGCTGGAGATAATTATTTTGTCACCATTTGTGTGTGTTTTATATGTAGATTGACTCAAAAAGTTATGTTTTGTCTGGAAAAATTAGTATATTGTTTCTGCACTTTTGTCTTGTGGCCACAGTATATTCTCTCAAAATGGCAGCCATGGTAAATTTGCCCATTTAAAAATAGCTGCTATGGAAGGCATGGTCAATGCATTTCCACTTTCTTAAAGGCAAACAAATAAGATTAAAAGGAAAGTTAACAAGTACAAGGCAGAGGTGGCTATTGACCTCCAAAACAGAAACCTCTTCTAAACCCCACTTTTCTGCTCTTATGCTCCTTTCATAGAAGGCAAACTACTGTGTCCCAGAAAGAAATAATATGTCTGAGAAAGTGAGCACAAGGCATTGTGGTACTTTCAGCCTCAAATCCCAGATTATTTATTTGCCCATATAGAGGATAGCAAAACAATAATTTTACAGAAGGCAGACTGTTGATGCTCACAAGAAAACTCAGAAAACACATATACAGATCCTGAGTCGTGTGCAAATGTTCAATGTAGCTCGCAGAGCAGGAGCTTGCTATGGTTTGCAAGGTTTAACTGATTTGTTGCTACACTTTTCAAAGACTCTCCAGAGGATCTATGTGTTTGTTTAGCCTCTTCTTCACCTCCAAGGTTTTGTGGTGCCAGGACTCACTTTCCACTCTGCTCTGCATCTGTCTTTTGGCTAGAAGCAAGTAGATTAGATTGATTCACACTTACTTTTTTGTATCGAGATCTTGATCTCCGAGGTGATGCAACACCAGATCAATGTTCTCACTCCGGGGGCATCAGTTTTACGTCCCTGAATCTCTCCAAGGCAATTTCAACCACCTTCCCGTTCACACTAGCACCCACTGGAGAGGAAATGGCGCCACTACCATTCTATTCCCAGCTCAGTCAGTACCATTTCCTGAACCACTGCTGTGTGGCCCGGATTGTTTTGGTGTCATACTCACACTACTGAAGATCTGGATTGCTCCGGCACACAGAAAAAGACATGGTAGGGGACCCAGTGTAAAATGCTCTGGGTTAAGTGGGTTTTTCTACACAAACAGTGTTGGGTACGTTTGGTGCCAGTCTGACCATTGCAGAAATAACCTGGTTTCACACTGGGTTATTTCTGTAGTGTGAATCACCCCTAAGCTTTCCTTCTCCTGTCTTCTTAAGTAGGTGAGAAGAAATAATCCCCTCATATCACCTAAATTGTAGAACTGCCCTTTTAGCTAAGACTTCAGTCTTAATTTTCAAACAGAAAGTATTAACTTTCTCTCTTTCCCTCTTCCTTCTCTCTCTCTCTCTCGGATAGGCTGTGAGGAATTGCTTGTGTACACTGTGTGCCTTCAAGTCATTAGACTTGAGGCAACCCTAAGACAAACATATCATGGGGGTTTCTTGGGAAGATTTGTTCAGAGGAGGTTTGCCATTGCCTTCCCCTGAGACTGAAAGCATGTGACTTACCTAAGGTCACCCAGTGGGCTTCATGACTGAGCTGGGAATCGAACCCTGGACTCAAAAGTCATAGTCCAACACTCTAACTAACCATTACGCCATACTGGCTCTTGTGACCAGTTGCACTTGGTACTTAATGCATAAGGCTTAGTTACATCACCAGGTTCCTAAGTTGCAGGATTTGACCTGAAAACTTTGGGGCCTGGGATAATCCTGAACTGCCAGCCCTAATTGAAAGGCATATTGAAAGCAATTGTATAGTTGCCATGACTGAAGCCATGATCACCTTATTCTCCATGAATCTGTCCAGTCACCTTTGAAAGTTGTCCAAACTGAAGGCTGCTACTCCATTTTGTAGTAGCAAATTCCATAGCTGAACTTAGCATGGTGAACAAGCATTTCCTGTTCTGAATCTCTCACCTTTCAGTTTCATTGGATGAACCCAGGTTTCAAATTTTAGGAGAGGGGGAGGGAAACGTCTCCCTAGCTACTTTCTCCACCATGCATAATTGTACCTCTATTGTATCCCCAATCTTGAAAGCGTGCAACAAGTATATTGTGCATTTTGGTTGGCCAATAAAAGTATCACTGATGGATTTTTGTTTGAACCCCCATCTCACTGTTTACTAGCCATTTTTCTGAAGGTAAAAAGACAGCCAAAAGGGTTTACAATTTTTGTTATAATATGCATTCCTGGTAAAATGAACTGTAGCAGTAAGCACTGGACTCCTTTAATAACTCTCCTGTGTGTTTCTACCTCTTCCTATCTGCCTAGGAACTGGTTGCACTGGGGCTTCCTGCCCTATATAAGGATGATAGTTCTGGAGATGGAGTTGAGCATGGCTTTGACCTACTGGCATTGGTGAATGGTACTACCCGGCTTCTAAATCTCTACCAAGGAGTGACTTCCAAGCTGGCTGACATGGAAGCAGAGGAGATGCGGCGGGCTGGAGAGCTGGATTATTTGAGGACACGGCACTGTAAACTCAAGGTCAGAGCTCTCAGATTCTACAAACTTGTGTTGTGGGGCATCTGGCTCACTTGCTCTGGGCTGTGCCTAGGTGGCCTAAGATGTTTGGCATCTGAAGTGTCAAAACCCCGGACCATCAGAAAGGCAAATGGCATTGTTTGCTAGCATAGGTGTAATACAATGGGAAATGCTCTTCCACAGTGCCTGTTGAAATTAACTAGAATTTATCTCCTGGTGGATTGTGACCATAGAGGATAGGTCTGTCTGCTTCCCACCCTTTTGCTTACCATAGCCTACACCAGCCCAGGAAAATGACAACAAAAAGGAAAAGTTAATTTTATGCTATGGCCAGAAAATGATATGACTGAGGGCATGAAATCTGGCTCTTGGACCTCATGAGCTTCCCCAGCCTTGTTTTATATTAAGACATATATTATGATCATCCCCCCCCCCCAGGTATGAACAAAGAGAATGGTCATCCTGGAATTCTGCCTTGCATACCCAACAACCCTTTCCATTTGTAACCCTGAGATTTCTGAATGGCTACCAGAAAGAAGATTGTACATTCTAACTTGGCATATGTCAATGTCCTATTCTCCAGCAACATCTAAATGTCTTAGAAAATGCTGTTCCTTTCTTTCTTGTTACTAGTGGTATCCCACCACCCTGCCACTGCCATCCTTCGGAGTCCATCTAGCACTCCTGGGGCATGGAAACAGACAGGGCATACTGGGTTTCTGGTGGAATCTACCATAGAGGATAGGGTTACGTTATGTTGTACTGGCTGTACAACTATAAAAGTAATTCCACTTTATAACTAATAACCCCAATCCCAAATGACTTTTCTGTAAAATAGCTACTAACAAATTAGTGAAGTTCATGAAGTTCTACTGTTGTGTCTCTTGATCAAGGTCAAAGGCATTTTCTGTACACTGATGTGAGACTCTTTATTCTTTCACTGTGAGAACAAGCAGTCCAACACTTTCTCTCAGCATTATAAAAATTCATCATAAAAACTGTGGCAAAGGTTGACATATCCTCCTTGATCCTTAAGCTCAGGAAGGGTAGGGTGGGTTGAAAATGATGACACATGAGTCAAACCCTCTTAGAGCAGTGGTACAAACACAGGCTATTGTGCCCTTCTTTTAGAGCAGGGGTAGGCAACCTTTTTGAGCCGGGGGCCGGG